AAGGTTGGAGTGCAAGGACCTATGAATTGCTTAGCAGAAGCAGAAAGAGCTGTTCCCACATACCTAAATTACCTACCATACATAAATTAATTCTAGAAACAATTCTAGAATTAATGTAGAATTCTAGAAACAATTTCAAGGACAGAATACTCCGTGGTAAAGCAGCTGTGAGCTCTGAGTAAACAGTTCCTGTGGCAGGCTGTGCTGGTCCTATGGGAAACTGCGGAGGGAAGCAGGTGCCTACCTCCCTGTTGATGCACCACGTTACACGAACGAATTTCAATTTTGCAGCCGCATTCCACGGAGATCTGAGAACAGATCAAGCGGATTTGGTATCGCAGATGTTAAAGGGCAGAAATCAAACATGCTGGCAGAGCAACAATCAGATGTGCGAGAAAGGGAAGACGGGTTTAATGTCAACTGGGGGCTCCAACGTGCGTGCATGAGGTGGCATTGCCAGGTGTTGACTCCTGCAGCGCTAAGTGAAAGCTGGGAATAATGTGGTTGCCTAAAAATCAAGCGTAGAAAGAAGAAAAAAAAAAAAAAAAACAACAAGCTAACATCTCAAGAAATTAGTGGTGACAAGGCCTGCCTGCCGGCCTGGCAGTGCTAGGAAACAACACTGCCTGGTTCAAGAATTCCCTGCTCCCTCACTCCCTCAGAGTTAGGTATTTCTAGTTGCTAGAAAAGGGCATTACGGACTCCCCTGGCAACATCAGGAAATTAATCTCGGTAGACTCCCAGAGTGAAAGCTCTATTTTCCTCTATGGACTTAGTTGATCCAAAAAAAAAAAAAAAANCAACCGCACAGATGAACTCATGCAACTCTTGGAAGGTAAGGAAAGAAAATAGAGCTGATGAGCTCATGAGAAATTCAGGCTTAGAGGTGTGAGCTTGGATCCCGTTAGGCCTTCAGAAGCACTGCCTGAGTCCTGCTACACAGCAGAAAGGCCCTGGCAGTCTGAGCAAATGCTGCTTTCTAGAAAATCCAAGGAATTCAGGACTTAGCTGGTGAGAACGCGTCGAAATTACACAAAAATGCACCAGAACTACAGTCTGCCACACGGACCTAGGAGAGATGCTGTGTTAAGTGGCACTGAACAAGAAGCAGGAGAATGAGGAAGGAGGGTCTGGGASACATCAGGTGGAAGGTGTCCCTGGAAGTCAGTAGCCAAAGCTCTCACCCAAAAACACAGACTCACCCACTCCTCAGGACTCTTAACTACATCAACTGCCCTCTGGCATGTGGCTGTTAACAGCTTAAGTGCTTGGGAGCATCTGCATGAAAACACCTGGAGAGAAGCATCAAAACTATGATCTCCACATCTTGCTTCCTACCTTCAACAAGCAAGCGTGCCCATGAGTGAAATGCCCCTTACCACGAAAGGGGAAATCACTGCCCTCTCTCCGCTTCTTGTCTGCGGTGAAAAGGGGATCCTGCTCAAGGGAAAATGAGATTAATGGTTCTCAGGAGAAGGTGAAAGGGCATTTCCCAGGCGGAGGCCCCGCTGGTGGCACCCCTCAGAGTGTGCAAGGGGCCTTTCTTTCGGGCTCAGGAAGGAATCCCAGCAATTCACTCGAAAGTGCCTCRGGGCTGAGCTTGTCATTAAGGTTTGTCCTGTTAATAAATGACAGGATGTATAAAACTGATTTGAGAACATTTCATTCACAGAAGTACCAACCGTTTGCTACCAAATCAACTTCATATATAGTTAAAAAAAATCCTCAAATCTCTTCATGTAATAGATCAGAGACAAGCAATGGGGGCTCAGTGGCACGAGGCACATTCTGACACCCAGGGACAGCTTTGTGAACTCGGAGGGAAGCTGACAACTTCCAGGTCATTCATGTGATGGGGCCTATACATTAAACAGTGCCTATGTACTAGAACACGCACGCAGGTGCATGAGAGCAATGGCACAAAGCGAAGAACKAGGCAAATATCACTCTGTTCCGTGTTCTGATCTTGTAGAAAAAAAGTGTTTGTGATGTCTTTTATCAMTATCAAACTTTTTAATTCTCTCTACTCCCTCCTGCTCATCTGCTAGATACACAGAGCCTGCTGCTGGATGTATTTGTGTTGCTAGCTGGAAGAACAGCAGAACATATCAAGCATTTAATAACAAAATTCCAGCCTTGTGACACAATCCCGTGATTCCAATACTGGAAACTAACCTCATCTTTCTACTCAACACAAACCTCTAATCCTATCAAGAGCATCACTATTTTAATTTTGCCCGAACCTTTTCTAAAGCCACAGATTTAACGTATTAAAAAGGACAATTATAAGGCCAGACCAGCCAGGAACGTGTTAATCTTACGTAGGTGCATATGACGATTCCTGTGGAAAGATTTCTGTGGCTTCTTAAGTATAGTCATTTTCTTTTTACATACTCTTTCCTAAAGCAATCATTAATTTGATATCTCTATGGCCTAGCAGGTCAAGAGCAGGTCTGGGATACTTGTCTAAGGGCTTATCAAGATGTCTGGGAAAGGGATGAAATAAATTCTCCCACYCACCAACCACCGACTCAACCACACTTGGCCTTCTTCATTTCCATCACCAGATCCCAGGCAGCTTCTCATTCCTGCAGCTGTCCTGGCTTCAACACCCCTAGGGCTTGCAGGGTAGAAAGTGCCAAGCACTCGGAATTCCTGTTTTAAAGCAGATTTTACTGGTCCTGCCTGGCTCCAAATGTGCTGGAGATGCAAGGCTGAGCTTGACACTGCTCCTGCTGCATGAGCCTACGCCATAGCTCAGCACAGCCAGAAATAATAATAAGGAAAATCTGTCTCCGTTTACAGGTCACAAAATGACAGAAAAAATTGTCCTACTGCACGCGGTCCTGTAAGGCTACAATATGGAACACAAAAAACTGCAAATTCAAGTGTTAGTGGAAGATACAATAATATTATGTCGAGCTCGCAAAAATAATTTGTACATACAATCCCATTATTCCTAAGAGCAAACTTTTAGACTTCTCCCAGCTAAATAACCAGTTAACTGTTCTGSGTATGGAGCTGCTACCACGCTCAAGTGTTTGAATCATGAGTCAGGGCCCGGGGAGTATTGCACAAGCCTAGAAAGCCATGCCCTGGGCCCAGAGTTTGCCAAGGGGTTGGCTCTCCCTGCGGAGCCCCAAACGCGCCCTTCAGCCCCACTAAACATCTGGCTGTAATGCTGCTGTGGTAGGGAGCTCTGCAAAGMAATAAGAACATACGTTTTTTCAATTGTTGCCTGTCAGTTCCGTTGAATGTCCTTCCAGTCATCCTGATTATATAAAAAAAAAGAAAAAAAGCCATTTTGGCCCATTTGTTGTCTTATACATGTCTAACCACGGCTGGGAGAAGTTGATGGGGGAAGAAATTAGCAAGGCAAATTAATTGGCAATAATAGACTCATAGAAGCTCTTTTCCTGGGCATATTTCCCCGTGTTTCTCATTTCCTCAGCCTGCCCGGAGCCTTTCCAGCTCCTCCAACCTGTCCCATGCTCCTGGGCAGAGGGAAGCCCCGTGCAGAGCCCAGCACAYGCACACAGCAGGGCCTCTGCCACATCCCACGTGGGATCCCTCTGGGCCAGTGCCACTTCTCACGCTTCCAACATCTGCATTGCAGTGTCAACCACTAACTCACCCAACCGGCCCTGGCTCCCTGCAGGACTCCGTGCCCTTCTCCGAGCACCTCCGATGGTTGTCTTACCAGCTTTTGAAAAGGGCTTTCAGGATCTGAGTGAGGGCACAAAACAAGCTACGAYGCTTTCCCCTACTCCTTAGTCATCTTGGATCTTTTTCCCTGTTTTTTGAACAGTTAAGTTCCCACTGGCCACATACTCTGCAGAAGCAGCTCCTCAGCGCTCCGACGAGGTTCTTGTTCACATTATAGCAAAACATTTGTCTGGTTTTACTACATGAGGAGATACGGAGATGCCCCTGAATGCCTTTAACCAGGTCTCCATGCTAACACACACTTGACAGGAGCTTGCAGCATGTTTACAACACTCAGTGAGGTTCCGCTGCTCTAAAGCTTCCTGTGCTGGGCCGCATACAAACTCCCTTTCCAAATGGTCACCGTGTTCCCTAATCCCTTCCTTGTCTGGGTAATCAGCAATAGAAACACTGCACATCTGGAAAAATGAGCAGAGTGACAAGGCCAGAAGAACGATGCAACTCCTAAGCGGAATCCTCACGGAGGGGCGGGAAGCCCGTGTTGGCTCTTAAGGGTTTTATGGCTACAGTTTCAGAAGCAGCTATTCAATTTGAAGGCTACTCCTTCTGCTTTGCCTACCCACAGGGCTCAGGACAGACAATTTGACAATATTTTAGCAGTCAGTGTTAACCTTTCCATAAGAGCATCTAACATCAAGACTCACCAGAAACTCGCATACAATCTACCAGCTGCCTTGTAAAAATAAACTGCCAGTTTACTTCAGGAGTCAGGCAGAAAAGGAGACTGTTCCTCCACAGTCTCTCGCCTCCAGATGCTGTTTCTTCAGTTCCATTTCCAATGCCAGATTTTTCATGGAATTTCATCCCATCTCACCCTCACACTTCCGTGTTATCTGCCTAGCTCTGCTTCCATTCTTAACTGCAATAAGCATATTATACAAAGCTCATGACAGACCGTTTTCAAAACCAACACACAATCACACATATTTAAGCCCAGGATATAAACATTTTGAAAAATGCATTGCGTACTCCATTCTAGAAACTGTACATCTCAACTCATTTCAAGAAAGAGTTTTTCGGGACAGTTTTAGCTAAAGCATACAAGAGGTTTCAACGAGCTTGTAATTACCCATCTACTCCATCTGCCTCTTCTTTCTTGAAAGCACCTGTCCATTTTACTGCAAAAGTTACGCAGAAGCATCACTTATGAAGYAACAAATTTAGATTAAATCTTGACTAGGTCATCTTTTGCAACACGAGGAAATACATTGATTGTTAGAAACAGTCCTATTGAGACATACAACAGGTCAGTGCTGACCAACTACAGCACTTACTCTACGGAATGACACCACGTAGAACGTATCTTCCCTTCTGCGAATAGCTTCCAAAAAGTCGTGGTAGCTCCTTGGAGAAGCATAATACACTTGCAGCTCATTCCCTGAGTTCCTGCTGAAACGACAAGAGGAAGAAATGATTTTAGATCCCAGGAATTTAACTCAGGGAAGCACTGACTTCAAAGACCAGCTTTTCAAAAGAGCAGTAACTCTTTATATATTTGGAAGAGCATGAGGAGTGTGAGAGCATTTTAATGCAGTAAAACACAATCAGAAATAGTAGGTATCTGTTGAAAGTTCAAAGTGTCTTGAAAATGTTGCCCTAAGGAAACTATTCCAGGCTTAACATTAYTCATGGTTTTGAGGCTTGCTCGCTCAACAGAAAACAAACCAAAAACAAACACCAAGAAACAACTAAAGAAGTCTACCAAATATAACTGGAAATTTCTCATGACTTCTGACAAGGGGTTTGGAAAGTTTTAAAATGAAATAGCATGATTTTCTTTTTTCTTTTTTATCCTGTTAAGGATACAAGCCATTCAACCTGTGCGAAGTACAGTACAAACAGGGCTTTTTGTTTATTCTTTGTTTATTTTTTGTTTATTATTTGTTTGTTTATCCTATTTTGTTTATTCTCTCAAATGGCAACCCAACCTTGGTCTTGATTGTCAATTTAGACATTGGAGCAGAAGTTATTCATAAGAACTGATCAGAGTTCTTGCCCCAATTACTGCAAAGTGATCTTTTTACAACTCGAAAATTCAGAATATCAGATGTAAGGAAAAGACACGCTGTCTAAAATATTCTAAGCAAAAACACTGGCAAATCATTCAATCATGGTAAGGTATTCTAAGCAAAAACACTGGCAAGTCATACAATCATGGTACTTAGCCACTGTTTATCTTGGAAAGGTGAGAAATTCCCAGCCCATATTGCTCTGAAGTATACTTCCCCAACCCTATTCAAAAATAACATTTAATCACATTGGAAAGCTGTACTTAAACAAAACATTAGCTAGACTCTCAACCAGTTATTTTAATTCCTTCCCACTTTAATAGCATTGTGTCTCTCTGCAGTAGTTGTGGCAAGAACTCTGATCAGTCTATTCCTCCCCCCAAGCTGTTCTGTTCACCCAGATTTTAAACTGCAGGGGCTGACCTACATTATTTTGGTAAGATGTTTCTAAAATATAAATACTACACATCCAACAATACACAAATCTTATTAACTGATTTTCTTGATCAACAGTAGTAATAGACAATTATCTTCTTATCTCCTACTGCTAATATAGTCCCCGTGCAAGAGAAAGGTTGCAGCTGCCGGGCTTTCCTTTAACAGGATCGGGAGTGTAAATGCAAGGTGCCTGATAAGAGGCAGCCCCCTCCAATACATCCTCATTAGCAGAATTATGTAAGTGCAGAATCGGATTACAGCTTTCTTCACGCACAGGAAATTGATCTGAGCTAATCTGAGGTCGATTACTCATTCATAAAAACATGCAGGCCCACCAAAACACTGACATTTCACTGCGATAAAAGGCAGCACACCCACGTATTGTTCAGTAAAACACATCCTGAGAACTGAAATTGCTCCCACAGCTCCTTTCTCTCACCCACACTACATGAGCTACAGTTAGACCTGAAAAAATAGCTTCTGCTAACTCTATATCCAGCACAGGGAGAAAGCTCTTCCAGAGCACTTGGAAACTTTTGGACCTTTGAGGAGCTCTCCTGGTTTTGGGGAAAGAGCCTACTACTAGTCCCTAAATTTCAATAGCAGTGGATTAACCTTTAGGCATTTAAGGGTACCTACTGTGGATTGCTGCGTGAAACGAAGGGAAGCTCACGTGGTGTGAACAGGTGTAAAGCTACCAGTTGTTATACTAGCATATTACACAAATTACAGCAAAGTACCCTATTAAATTTTATATACAAACACTGGTGCTGAATGTGGTTACTCATGAGTGATAAACTAGCCTTTCTCTATATCAGAGTTCAAAGCTCCCTGGGATGAGGACCCAGGGAGATGGTGGCATTCCTTCCTGGGGGAATATTCCAAACTAGACTGGCTCCCTGAGCAACCTGATCCGACTTTGAAGGCAGCCCTGTTGGGGCAGAAGGTTGGTCTAGAGCTCTCCAGAGGAGCCTAAATTATTATGTGATTCTGTGCATCCAATAGCTGATGCCTCTGGGAAGAGCTGGAAATCTGTTCTATGTTCTTCACAGTTCCAAGACAGTCACAGCATGCAGCTGCCATGACTCACTGATTCTGCTCATTTAAACACCATTCATCTGAAAAGCAATCTGACTTCTTTCTGGGCACAGCAGATTATTCCATGCAGAGCTGCATGATGTCGTGGACTGTTTCTAATAATCCAGATAAATCATTTGAAGAGAAATGCAGACATTTATATTAAACTGCATTATGCCAAGACGATAGGCCTGTTGGGCCACTCTTCACTTAAACCAGACACCCTATGTTTGCCTGTTGAACTAAAAAAAGGTTTTTCCTTCTTATAAGTTAAGATACATCAGAATTTGGCAGTCTAGTTTCCAGAACATTTGCCTGTAGCTCATTACTCCCTCCCAGACTGATCCTGCTTTCAAATCTGGAATATAAAAAGAAGGGCTACAGCTGTCTGGTCTTTCAGCGGCAACATTTTCTCAGAGAGCCTTTTGATACTTCATTCCACTGATTCCTCCGCCACTTTGAGGCAGAAATTTTTTAACATGATCTCAGATAATTCAGGAAAAGATCATTTTCTTTTCCAGGTTCCTATGTTCTAATAATCAGCAAGGAAAACCAGGGGATGAGGACGAACCATACAAATGACAGGTAATGATACAAAGCAATGTATTTGGTGTATAATGCCTTCTCTCTTGAAGACACTGAGATAAACCCCACTCTTASTGTATACTTGACACTTCAAAATCTTCTTATAAACTGCTGATATCGCTCCAGATAGCCCTACAGTGCCTAATTTTCCCCTGGAAAATATATCTAGGAGGGACTGTAGTGTGACATCAAAATTCTCTTGAGACCTATTGGTAGGAAAAGAAACAGAAAAGTGGAGTTGTGGGAGAGAGGTTCCTTAAAGTRTACTTGGAATCTTTAAAAACAGATTATTTTCTGTGTATTTCTTGCAGAGGCAGAAATCAGGCCAATAAACGTAAGCTAGCATCTTAAGCTAGCAGGCTTAAGAATTCTGACAAGGTAAAGACTCATTTTTCATCATCTACAAAAAAAAATAATGTTATTAAGAAGAAAGCATTAAAAAAAATAAAGTTTTCTGCCTTACCTAATGCTGGTTTCTGTATAAGGCATGGCCATTAGTTGGGAATCTGCCTTCTCACTGAGGGAGCTCTGCAAAGGGGAAAAAAAGATGACAAAAAAGGAAAACAATTAGCATTTTCTTGGTTTGGCACTATGCAACACCTGATGCAAGTCTGTGGCAGGTGGGCAAGGGTTAATCAGAGCCCTGAACACAAATGTATGCTTTTAATGGTAAAACATGAATAACTGAAATACCAACCAGCACTCATGCTGGAGCTAAAGAAAAGGTGTTTTAATACAGCCAAATGTGAAGTCCCACATTCAGAGACAAAGAGAGAGGCTAGTGCCATACACAGTAGCTCCACACACTGTCTTTTGAATCCAAAATTGGCCATCAGTCGTCTTAAATTTGTACCCTTGCTTTGAGGTCATATCCACTTCATACCTTTGCCAATTTATAATGTCCACATGACATGTCAGCTTGAAACCTGAAAACCTAAGCATGCTCTACTTGAATGTTCCATCATTTTCCTTTGGACAATGCTGAGAAGAAAGTAATGTTTAATACTCAGAAAATCCTCTCTGAAAGTATGTGACATTGCTCACATTTCTAAGTGCAATCCATTCACAGGCTGTTAGAATCTCTTAATCAAAGGAAACACAGCAAAAACTCAAGTCTTAATTTCATTCTTGCTGTCAAYGTGTCATGTAGCTGAAAAGGATTTTACAGAATGGAAAGTATGAACACAAATCTTGTAATTCTGTACTCTTAACCAAAAATACATCCTTTTAGCAAAAAAAAATCTAAAAACATGAAATAGAAATATTTCAACAAAAACAATCAGCYGTGACCCTTAACACTGAGCCTAATGAGTGTGCTGTTGGTCAAATTTCTTTCCCTTAATCAATTGTTTATCTTTAAACAGCCTTACAAAGAACTCATAATAAGGCAACTATCAATTTCATTTTAGAAAATAAATGAACATATTTTGATGACTGCTAAAAAAATAAAAGCTTTTATCCTGAACCAGAGTGCAGGCATGGAAATTTTCAGACTCAGCAAGAACTCTGGCAACATCATAAATGACCCAAAACAGCAATTTGAAGTGGAAAGTGTTGGGTAAACTTAATTATAGATGTTGTTGGCTACTTTTGTCTATAATAACAAGAGCAAAGAAGCAAGAGGGAGTACTGAATTATGTTGCCTGAAATTAACTTGTCATGCTATTGACACACCAGTATAAACTTGCCTACCTGCACAACTCGTGCCTTCTGGTGTTGGTTATTTGACAGCCTTCTAGATCTTGTCCTTTCTACTTCATGTCTATGAACCCATCCCCGAAGCTCATGGTTCAACCTATAAAAAAAACCACAGCATTAACAGGAGACATTTCTAGGAACACAGGCAGAGTAGAATTTAATTTCAGAGAAGAGTTTCACTAGTCATTTTAGTACTCTTGTTACCTTGTGATATCTTATTTTTAAGCTGTAGATGAAAAAATGTAATTGCAAGATTAAATTTGGGAGAAAATTCATAAAGGAAGCTATAGCTATAAAGCATCAGAATCACGGATATGTCAGCATATAGTACAGTACTTTTGTTTTGCCACAAAGAACAGTAATTCTAAAATTTCTAACTAAAAGGCTATCAGTTCAACACTGCATAATTGTTAAGAAAGTAAAATAGTAAAAATACATTTTAGAAAAAAAAGCAAAATGGAGCCAAGCTTAGTGATATATTTGTATCTTTAGAAAAGGTGGAATTCAATAGTCTCTAACAGCATAAAGAAGATGTGTAGCATCAGGTAAGTCTGCTTGAACTTCTGCTTGGAAGCTACAGGGGCCCTTAATATATTTCATACACAATACCCTTTTAACTAGGCTGGATTTGCATATAATAGTTTTCACATATGAAGTGATTTCTTTTTTGAGCCATGAAAAATATTACAAGGTTAAGCTTATTTAATTCACATATTTGACATAAACTCAAACTGAAATGCATGCAAGTTCAATGATCCAGAGGTCAATAGCATTCGCACCCAATATTGAACTGGCTTAATAATGCACTTTCAGCTGGACAGCTAGGCCTACGATCCATCAGTTAATCCAACCTGAACAGAGGGCAGTCAAGTCAAACGCTTGTGGGCCATTCTGATGTGGCCATCTCAAATGTTTCCTATGAAAAACTAGAGCAGCAGTTCGTCCAGTTCCTCCAGATCAAGAAATCCTTTGAGCCACCTCAGCATGTTACCAAGACCAAACTCAGGTCCCCTGTTTCCACAATAAGAGACACTGGAGAGTACAAATACTTCCAGAGGCACCAGGCACATACTGCATGATGAGATGGATGGATAATGCCATTCTCCAGAGCCGTGTGTCCAGCAGCATTCACCCAGCACACACTGGATTACATGTAACCTGCAGAGGACAGCTGCCATGCTCACCAGAGGATGCTTGCTCACCTGAGCGACTCTGTGCGGTTGATGAGGGGCTGGCAGGGAGGGGGTGGTGGTGAAATGTACAGTAGTGGTTCTTCTGAGACTATCATCAGTGCTTTGTTATCGGAGACTGAGCGGTCATACCTGTGAAAAAAGATACCATGAAATCCCTTTTTATTCTTTGATCAAACCCAAAGAGTAAGTATCATCTTAGACAATCCACAAACTTGCAGCTAGTCCTATAGGGTCTTCTGAACAGGTGAATAACTCTTTTTCTAGCACCGGTGGTYTTTGCAACACTTCACTAAGACTGCTTACCTGGGCTTTGGAAGACCTGAATTCAAATATCTCTACTTCCAGAAGAGAAAGAACCTACTCCTCCAGTGAGGCTCATTATCYCTCTTCCCCAAGACCCAGTGAAAAACTTCATCAGTGAAAACAAAACAATTGCACCAGGAGAGAGCCCACCTTGCTGCAGGACACCTGATAAAGAATTTGCCCAAGAAACAGCAGAGTGGGGTTCAAATCCCCCTGGAGAGATGAGAGATTTAAACACCGGTCTTCCTTTCTCCAGAAAAGCTCAGTTTTAACACTTGGTTGTAAGATAAAGAGGATCCCTCTCCTGGGGCTATTTCAGACAGTCCTGATCCTGCACCTGTCTTTGCTTGAGGGAGCACATGAAGAGGATGCCAGGCACACAGGAAGTCTCAACTGATACAAAAGTTACTTGTGTGTATTTATCAATAGCTCAGTAACTAAAAATATAAAACAGACCAACTTCCAAACACTGATTGTAAGTTCAGTTGCTCTGTAAGAACAACAATAAACCTGGCCAAAAGAACAAATGGAAGGGCAGGGATGTCGAAAAGTACCACTGTCCTCTGACTCTTATAAAACATGAAAGATAGGCATCTCACGTGTTAGTCTTCTCAGGAATTATGCTCCCAGGGATTTTATGAGCTGTGCTGGACTCCTGGCTGGCTGAAAACTCCAGCAGATTTCTGGTCCGATGGCTGGAACTCACAGTGGAGTCAACTGCACTGGGATCCTTTTCAAATATGCTGGAAAACACAGAGAGCAGTAGTAAAACATATCACTTGAGTATGCAACACTGTGCACTGTAAGTAAATAACTTTCTAGATGCTGGTATCTGTTTCAGGTGGATATGGTTCACGTTGTACCTATTGCTGAAACTTAGCACTTTGTGCCATTTAAATTACTGTCAAAGCACAACTGCAGAGAAATGCTATTCTGTTCTCTTCTTCAGTATCACTTGCCGGAAGGATTTTGATGCTCCCTCATAGCCCCACCTGACGAAACTTAAATCATTCTGCCTGTAACCAAGCTCCGGAGGCAGAAGAGAATTACCTACAGCCAAGTCAAAGTACCCCTGAACTTGCTCTCATTACCCTCACAACATAATTAACATAGATTACATGCGCATATAATACTTAAAGAGAAGAGAACTCCCAAATTCTATGCAGCTGCTGGCCCGGACCATTGAACAGAACAGTACCCAGACCTATCTACGTTGAAGCCTGCATGGATTTAGAGATATTGGCGGGGCTGACAGCCCTATCTGCACAGCAGCCCGGAGGCTGTTCTGAGGCTGTTCCCTGCCTTGCTGGGATCGAAGGATCTCCCCCGGGGGCTGTTCAACCCCCCACGTGGCACCCGAGCCTCTGCGCAAAGCAGCACAGTGGCATTTTAGGCAGGAGCTGGAAAAAGAAACACTGGACAACCACTAATGTGGAAATGACTCCACTAGCTTAGAAAGGCAAGTTAGAAGTGAAAGACCCTGAAGGCACAAGAGCAACACCTCAAGATACCCTCTCCAGAGGCTAGCGGTACTCTCTTGGAAACATGGCCGCTTCCCTAAATGCCTAAATTTGGGAAATGAAGCCGTAACCTTCCCAGGCGAGAGCCGCAGAGCCCTGCCCACAGCAGCCTGCCCTCAGCAAGAGGGCAGAAACGCGAGGACGGGACGCGGCAGCCAGGCCGCATGCGGCGCAGACACCGCTTCCCAGCAATTCCCTGTGCGTGCTCCTGCTGACATCCYGCCAGGTCTCCCTGCAGTCCCGTCACGCTGGGCAGGAGCGTTGCGGCCAGGGCAGCTCCACGTAAGAAGGCCGATGTCCCCTGGAGCCCTTGGCTTCCTCCAGGTTTCCAGGCAGCCGCACGCAGCCGGGACGCTGCGGCGTTGCAAGCCCTGCTCTCGCTGGAGCAAAATCCGGCAGGGAAACATTCCCAGAGAGTTTCCTTGCAGCATATGTAAACTACCAAGTTTCATTGCTTCTCATGCACGGAATGGAAAGGCAGATTTGATAGGGAGCAACTCTTAGCAACAAAACTAGTGTTTTAAGCATCAGCTGATACTTTCAAATAATGTTTACATTCTTTTTCAAGGTAGCTACGCTCGTGACACAAATGTAAGCTCTCCTCCTGCTTCCAGCACATGCTTTGTGAACACCAAGACGGTGACACACGGAAAACAGCTGCTCCTTCCCATTGTTTGAGGGTCTTCTTTCCTTCAAATGTTCCTTTCTCAAACAACAGGGAAGCTAAAACATATTTAAGCTGCTGAACACTAGCAGCGTGAATTCAATATGGAAAAGCACCATACATGAGCAACAGAGCAGTAAAAAACTCTATGAGCACAGAAACCAAAAGACAGAGGGACCCTATAGATTTAACGAGAGGGACCCTATAGATTTAATGAAACAACAACAGTCTTTCTGATCCAGGCCTGTAAAGGGCCTGGCACTGTAGCTGTCCCATTCTGCGACACTGCGGTATCTGTTTTAAGAAAACACTACCTATTGGGAAGAAAAATATAGATGAAAAGTCCAAGTGATAATAAGTTGCTTTATCTGGGTCAAGACAAACGGTTTATTAGTTTCCTTCTGTTCCTCAAAGCCAGAGCTGCATGGAAGAAGAAACAAATGAGCAAAAATGAGATAAAAATTAAACAACATACCAGGAGAACCTGCATCATTGACACCACACCATCCAGCTACAGGGCCTCCACCACCCCCCAGTTCATGAGGTCATCTTCTCTMTTAAGGAAAGCATCAGGCCAGTACCAGACCTCCAAGCTAAACCTGATGTCTAAAGGGGCACCATGTGCTCCTGCTGAAAATCCATCATCTACAAAACAGACCTCGCATCCTTAACTTGCAGAGTCCCCAACTCTACCTAGYTTGGAGCCCTGGGAGCTGGAGAATACACAGAAGTTCATTCATGAAACTCCTGTCCCAAAGAAAATTCCCCATTCACTGTGTTGGTGAACCTCTTGGATCTGGCATTTCAGCCTATCCTAATTTTCTACCAYGCTGTTCTAAATGACACTTTGAACAAGAGAAACTCTCCACACATGCAGGACATCAACTTAATGAGGATAAAGACCCTGCATGTCACAGCTACTCTCAAGGTTTTCTAATTCGGTTGCTTTAGCTGTACAGCTATTTAAAAAACAAATCAAAAACCTCACATTATTCTATCATTTTAATAGAAAGTGTTTATTTTCACTCTCCTCTGCTTAAAACACCTAAAGCTTTCCAGCAAAATTAAAACCTCACTTTTGGCAGGAACCGAGCACAGGAAGGTTCAACCTCAAAGATTTCCTCAGCAGTGAGCAAGAAAGAGGAGGCAAAAAGGCTGAACGAGGCGGCAAACAGACCCCGTCCTGCAGTCCTTACAGGCAGAAACCATTGCTACCATTTTTGAGAACAAAGGCACCTACTTAAAAGCAGAAGACCACACTATTTTCAGTACTTATTGCAATGCTTTTTCTTTATCAGGAGTGTTACTTGTCCACATAATGCTTCTTTTGAAGCAGAGCCAGCAGCAACTGCTGCCTTAAGCTACGTGGGCTACACTTGCCTCCCCTATCCCACTCATTCCTGCAGGATCTTGGAGATGATCAAAAGCATTCTTCTCAGGGCCAACTGTGGCTGGAGGGAAGAAAGAAAGAAAGAAAGAAGCGAGGGGGGGGAAAAAGTCCTTCCTTGCTCCTTTGGTCTGTGATAACAGCCCAATACCAAGGGAATTTTCCTAKTTGATGAGACAAAAATACTAATTAAAGGAAAAAAGCTCCCGGAAAATCATATTTTCAGCTAAAATATCAATCCCTCAAACACCTTGTTTTAATATGACAGCAAAAGAAAGGACAAGATTTTCATTCTGTTGTTACAAAATGCTTGTAACTTGGAGAGGCTGCAAGACAGAGCACTTTGCCACATCTGGCCTGAGCAAGYCCTACTGTTTGCAGGAACTTAGCTCCTGCCCCATACTGTTAAGTCCAAGGCTAAGAACTGACTTTGTTAAACAAGAGCAGTGAGAGGTTGGAACTGCTCCATTCTGTTCTGCCACACTTCCAAACTGGGGTGCTATCCAGGCCGTGCTTGGATGTTACAGATATTCCAGRCATTAAAGGGTTTTCACGCAGCCACAGACTCTGTCCAAGCTGGCTGAGCTAAGGGCCTGTTTAAGATGCAAAACCAGATCCAAAAGAGAAAGAGAAAGAACCACTAACTACTTGATGCAGATGTTTGCTCACAAATGTAGATAAATTTGATTACAGGAGGGAAAGAAAAGCAACACTCATGTCATGGTTCTCCAGGAATTCCATGGCACCTGATATTTTAGCTGTATTTTTACTTCTTTGGTTTGAATGTCACTTTGATAAATGTGAAAGCAAGTGTTGCCCGGAGCCTGAACTACATTTCATTTGTAACTGGCTGAACAAATCCTTTGCACTTACAAGCTCTGAATACTGACGTTCAAGCCATACACTAATGTACAGACCAAAGCCAACAGTGACATCATAAGAAAAAGTTTTCTGGGGACACAACCATGCCTGAACAYGAGCTGGGATCTTTCCAAACGGATAAAGAAGCTGCCCATGCCGGGTGGCACCAACCAGAGATGTCTCGCCCTCTTCCTAACCAGTTCCAGACAAGGCAGCCGCAAGGCCAGCTGCTCTCCGGGAAGTTGCCTGCTCCTTGTTGTGGATGAGGCCACCATCTGCTGGGCTGCTCCACACTCACAGCAAGGCACTGAGCTGTGTCACAGCAGCACGTGCTCCAGCACGGACTTCAGCCTCAGGGCTACCTTAGGAGGTCCCGGAGATCCTCCAGGCCCCTGCTGAATCCAGGATGCAGGATAAACGGCCTCAGCAAGGTGCCACACACAGCTAACTCAGCCTTGCTAGCCTCAGGTTAGCTGGGTAACTGTTTCTACACCAGACCATAACCCTTAGCTTGATAACCACCCCTTTTCTAGGGTCCTTTCAGATACATGACCAGCGACACTAAAAAAAAAGGCAGTCGAAAAGTTGTTTTTGGGGTTCATAAACATGACACAGTAAGCACCCTTCAGAAGCACCCCAAATATCCAAACAAGGTAATGAACACAAGCAGCACCCTAAGTTCAAATCAWCCCATTTGAAATCTTTAGTATCCAAAACGTTCTTACCCTTGCGCAGCAGAGCCTGAACTCATGGAGAAAGGGGCAAGACACCAGCCAGCATAACCCAGCATTAAAAGGGTCCAAATCACAGTCGTTTTATACAGCACACGCAGCAACACCAGGACAAACACATCACTCTTCCCAGCTATACAGGCTCACGTCTTTACCAAAACGCTGTTCAGTGGATCTAAACTTTTAATAAGTTACCCAGTTTCCAGGAAAATCCTGGAAAGCAGAGGAAAGCTTATTAGGACATTCAGGAGAAGAGCTGCCCRGGAGTCTCTAACAAGGGCCAGCAACTCTAGTGCAGCTGCTGCAGCTCAATAGGGCACTGGAGGTTTAGAAACAGCAGCTCCATCAATCACCATTTCGATCACCTCCTACCACAAACACAGCTCAAGAATTCTGTTGTTATATGACAAAGTCTGCTTTCCAGCTTCCAAGGGCTTCCAATCACGCAGAGACGGCCAAGGTGTAAGAGAAGAAAACAAAAATAAATAAATAACCATCAAAATCACCTTTTTAAACGACCTGTTCCCATCTCCCCTTGCAGATCTGTCTTTTACCCCTACAACCTGATGTTTTCCTCTGTTTTCTATCCACTAAATATCTGAAATAGCAGTTCAGACATGTTCTGCCTGGCCAACATCTTTATAAATGTTCTGAAACTGCTGCTGGAAGAYGAAGACCACGTAGCTCGGGCAGGCTGATGGGGTGGTTGGGAACCAGGGGAGGATCTATTTGAACGCCTCTCCTAGGCGAGGAAGTGACGCTAGGTCCATGTGCCAGTGTCTGGCTTACTCACTTGCTGCTATGGCCCCACGAAGCACAGACTCAGAAATGTCCATTTTTTCCCCTAGTTTTTGCAGGTTTTGTTTGTTCCTGCTACAAAGAGAACACAGGTTAGACTTTGCTAGTCCCGAGTCACCAGCTTGCTGGCTGGTTTTCCAGTATGTTGCCATCACATGTAGGACTTTCATTTAAGAAATAAAACRAGAAAGTGAGACTGGCTGGACTAGCGCTTGGTTGAGTCCCAGCTTTGTTAATGCTCATTTAACACACACTCAGATCTGCTTAGTACCCAGGCACGGCCTAACACAAGTGCTGAAATCAAACAAGCCCAGAAGAAGGAGCGCAGGAGCAGCGAGAGCCTCCACCTCTCCAGCCTCCCTGTTCCAAGTGGGAATCACAATGTGTGGCCCCTTGGATGTTCCTAAGTGCCAGAGGGCGGCGGGTTCTGGGGAAGCAGCTGCCAAGGGGAACCCCTCACAGCCCTCCGTTTGGGTGCCACCCATCCCACTGATCCCCTGTTGTGCAAATGCTGTGGGTGCCAGGCCCCTCTGGGCACGCAGGCGTGGGGCTGGAAGGGGAGCAAAGGCAAAACAGAGCCCTCAGCCTTTACACACCTCACCAACCACTCAAAGAGTAATAATAATAATAAAAGGAGCATTTTATAGATGTTGCGTCCAAGGCTAAGTAATTGGCTAAGATTACAGAATATTTCATTGACACACAGATGGGAAATTCCTGGGCACTTTCATCTGGGATGAAGCAAATACATAAAAGAGAAACTTACCCGAACAGACTTCCTGCTAAATTCCTTTTTCTGCTGCTAGTATTTGAAAGTCTCACTTTTTTTTTTTTCCTACAAATATCCTCTATCAACACACTCAAAATAGTTTAATCCATAGTGCAGTGTGTCAACTGGGAGTTATCACTAACTCTATACAAACCACATTGAAGATCAGAAAGTATTAAATCATTCAATTCACATTCTTGGAGCAGAGATAAGGGTGCCATATCCAAGGCTGAGGATGTTCTAARGAGCATTTTGTCAATTAAGTGCACGAGACCAGACTCTCCCTCCAACATTCCCAGCAGGTCTCTGGGGCTTCTATGCCCCCTTTCCTACCAGACTTTTAGCCCTGCTCCCTTATTCCTACATTTGTCAGCAGGAAAGATTCTTTTCCAACAGAATAATTTGATCTCCTGAATCTGCCTGCCAAGGGCTGCCACATCTTGGACTACTTCCCATAAGCTTCAAATTGAAGAACTGTTTTGCCTCACAGCATCCCCTATAAAACATCACAGGCATCTTGCCATCTACATACAGGCTAAACAAGGTTTAAGACCAATAACTGTAACTACATATAAACCAGCATTAGGGCAACACATCCCATTCATGAAGGAAGAATATAGATTTACAGAGACAGACAAGACAGATGCTGGGAAAGGACAGCAGAATTTCCTAGTCCTACCAACCCTGCTCRGTGCTTTCCTCATGCCTGAATCTGTCAAATATCTACAGGGGTGTGTGGATGAAATACTTCCATACAAAGAGGAAACGGCAACACTGTCACAAAGTTTAAAGCTGGATTTATCTCCAATTGATCACTGCCCACAAACTAGAAATTAGGAGAAAGAAAAAACAAACCCACAGCCACATACTGCAGGTTTCTGTTGTTAAAGACTCAGCAGAAGTGCCATCGTCACTCGTGTTTGTGGAGCCACCAACCACTAACACCTCCATAAGAGGAAGAAAATGCACGAGAAGTGAAATCTTCAGCAATGGTTTGTATAGCCCAAGTCCTGGGCCTTCTGGAGGGTGCTATACGTGAACATCCATAGCACCTGGATACCACCTAGTATTTTAACTGTGGTGCAAACATCCATACTGCTAAGGGGAAAAAGAAAAAAAAAAAGCAGAAAGTAATTCCTTCCTAATTATCAATTTCATTTCTTGCTGTTGTCTCCATCCAAAATTGATGCAGGTCATCAACAGTTCAGGCTTACCTATTACACCAAATGCAAGAAAAAAAAAACACACAAATCCTTTTCATCCTTTTCTTTAAAAAAATAACCCTGTTGTTTGCAGTTATCTATTGCTACAGAGGCAGAAACAGAGTGACCTCCAGCCTGTTCTGACAGCAGTCTCTTGCTATCAAGTCAACACGGTGCTCAGTCCAAAGGGTGGGGGAGCTGACACCCTTTGAAGAAGCCACCCCTCTCCTCCTCTGTCCTGTTTCCAAGAGTCACAAAGCTGATACTTCAGGCATTCCAGCGCCTCATGCTAACACAGAGGCTATTAAAGCTTCTTCCACCTTCAAAATACTCTGGTGCTGTCAGTTCTCACCAAGTAGGAGGAGTGTCTCCCGAGTGAGTAGTAATGTTCACAAATGGGGTAAGATATAAAAACCAATCACTCACTACGTGGAAGCCAAGTTTTCTGCTTAATAATCAAAAATTCAAGTATAACCCCTAAATGCACTTAGAAACTTTCTACTTTAATATGATTTATATCAAAGTCAAATTATTGCCTGTATTTTACTGTCCAAAAGAAACAGTAAGTGCAAATACTTCAAAAGTAATTTCAGTGTTAGCAATATTACTAATATTACTAAGAACTCTAAACCAAGTCTTGGAACTCCTTATTACAGCCAGAAATAAAGTCTTGAGTTGTCATCGACATATAGTGAGAAGTCTAACTCTTGYCTGATGGCAGATATGCACAAAGTAACAGCAGAAATTAATCCGCATGGTTTCAAAGTTTATGGAAAAAAATGCAAAAAGCAAACACAAACAAAATTAAAACAAAAATCAAAGCACTCAGGACCAAACAAAGATCCTTAATGATATGAAGAACAAAACACGCAACTGCTTTCAAGGCTATATAAAGTTGTTGAAGGGATGAGAAAAAAAAAAAAAGAAGAAAACCCTTCTTCAGCAGATTSTAAAACAAGTGATTGAGGGCTTAGTTCTAACGAGGAAGACTGAGGATAGATGAGTCTAATGGTGAGGATCCCAAAACACTGGAACAAACAGTGAAGTCKTCTGCACTGAATGCTAGAAAGAGCTTAAACATGGAGCTACTCAGATTAATACAGGTATAAACACGCCAATGTGTTCTCAAAGTTTTTTTCTACCTTTTTTTCTTATACTAAAGGGATTCTAGACATAGGTGTTTTATCCCTTCAGATGTAAATGCAGAGAAACTGCTGAATACTATGGTAGTCGGCAAGATGCTAGGCCAAGATAGATGGAAAGTATAAAAGCCATCTCTCCTTGCCAGAGGGACTACAAAGGAGGCATCATTATGATGACTCTAAGTCCCTCTTTGCAACAGAGGAGAGGAAGGAAAAAAAGCTAAGTTTTGAGTTTAAGGCTTTAAACACCACCGTAGTCTCTATTAAAGCACAAAAATGGTAGGGCAGCAAACTTGCTCTGGATTGCAGCTGAGTAGCAAGTGTATAGGGGAGCAGCAAAGAGGAGCTCCCAGACTGCTTACCTGAGTGGACCGTAATTCAGCATTATGAAAGCCAGAATCACCATCACACACAGAGTTCTTCTCTTTGGAGATGAGACTTTGAGCTTCTGGTTCTAGACAGCAAGAACAGAGAAGACATGCAGTAAAATCAAGGGCACAAGCAYGCAGGAGTATTTCAGAAACTAAATAAACCAAATACTTGCTTTCTAGATTTATACCTGTCTAATTATGTAGGAATATATTCAAGAGTACTTAAAATCTTTTTGTTGTTGTTTAAATTCTTTATTTTGAGTCTACAACAACTGATCTGACCTAGAGTTTACAAAAAATATTGCTCCGAATAACAGGCTGGACTAGAAATCCTCAGACGTTTCTTCTAAACATTTCTATGATCTCAGTTAAGAGCCTCCTCCCTGAACAAMTCCATCCTTGCATTCAGATCGTTCTACCCCTAAATCTCTTACCTCTAACACCACTTCATCCAGCTGCCTTTTCAGCGAGCCGTTCTCTCTCTTGAGTCTTTCATTCTCCAGCAAGGCTGCCTTCAGCCTGGCCTCCAGACCCAACATATATTCCTTCTTCTTCTTCCGTGACTGACAGGCTGACTCCCGGTTTTTGATCATGCGCTGCTGCCTTCTCAAGACGTTGACCTGCATGGACAACCGGGAAGCCTGTTAGGAATGTTTAAGTTAAAACTACCTCTTTTTCATGTCCTCTTTCTACTCTTTTGGTTTGTGAAAAGCCTGCATGGTTATTCTCCCTCACATCAATTCAAACAGGACTTGTTAATCACCAAAGCAAGTAGCTATTGTGTTCRTATTCCTCTTGGAGTTAGAGCTAGAAGAAAATGAAGGAAAAAAGGAGGAAAAAAAGGCCAATCCCACACCACATCTGTTCTCTCTTGCAGTCTCAGCCTTGCATGCGCAGGAGGCACAGAAGTTACTCAAGCAGGAACTTGATTTTTATGAATTACAAAGAAATAAAGCACAAGTCTACAAGTCTTCATTATGAATTTCTCTGGCCTACACTGTGGCATTAGGATTAAGAAAGAGTTTATGATGATAAAGAGAAGACTAACAATAATGGAAATATAATAACATAGATGGCATACCAAGAACTATATAAACAAAATCAGTCTAAGGACATTAATTACAACTTATTTTATGTAGTGAACAAAACTCAAGTAAATATATGTACAGACTCATTGAACATTTCTGAGCAGCTTTGAAAGACAAGCTTTTCCTACTGTCCTGAAGACRGAATGATGCTAATCCCTTCCTCAACCATCACGGTTTAGGCATCGGAACTCTCCTTTGAAGCATAGTCCCATTAACAAAAATGATGGCATCACAAGATGATATTGAAGAAGTGCTCAGATAGAAGCAATGAAGACAAATTAGAAGGCAGCTGTGCACAGGATATCAAAACCACAGTGCTTCTAACAAGAGAATAAGATCRGGGAAAAAAGAACTGATGACTTAAAGTGCTTTATTAGTTTCAGCATTTTCTTTTTGCTGTTTCATTCTAATACCGTGGAACATAATTCTACCCCCTGCCATGGGAATATTAATCAAAGGAYATCTGAGGGTAAGCTGCTTTATTCACGGAGCCTCCTCATTAGTTTTTCCAAAYGGCACTGCTTGCCCCAGGCCCTGGCAGCAAAGTCCCCATGCGGGGACAGGGACGCGCTGCAGTCTGTGCCACAGCAGCCAAGAGCCACGCTCAAGCAGCACGATAAACTGAGCAGAGCCCTCTACGAGTCCTGGCCTCAGGAGTCTGCAGTTTTCTGATGGATAGATCCTTACCCGAGCCTCTATGCTCAGTTGATAAACTCCTCCTTGCTGACTTCCCCATCTGCTCTTAACGTGTCTCTGCTTTAGGCTCCACAGCGTGCTCAGCAGCTCAGCGAGGTGTGAGAAATCCTTCCGCTTTGCCSTAAGCCTGCTCCCAAACTGCTTTCAGCACCCTCTGAAACCTCAGGGGTGACAGATGAGGATTCCTTTTCACCCTGCCATATATCATTTCACAGGCTACAGTCAGTTCTCTGTTTCCTAGGCTGAAAACTCTCACGTTTCTTTTGTCTCTYCCCATACAGAAGCTATTTCCACACATATTACTCCCTGGCCTCTGCCCTTTTTCCAGTTCTGCTATAAACCTTTGGAGATTTTGAACACTGTCTGAGCCCAGGCTGCACATTCTAAGCGTACCAAGCKTTTATATGGGGGTTTAAATGAATATCCTGGCCTTACCTCCACCAGCCTTTCCATTCAGACCAGGGGCGTGCTGTTGACACAAACTTCCCGAGCATCCCACTYGATGTGCTTTGGCTTGCAGCAGAAGCCCAGCTCACAGCCGGGGCTCCTCCTGGACGAGGCTAAAGCAGCAGGCAGACCCCAGGGGAGCAGGCAGCGCCTGCCAACCGCCTGCAAGGCCAGACAGGGGCACTTCAAAGGAACTGCTCCCCTCATCCCTCAGCAGCCGCCGTGGCTCCGATTTCCCTCTCCAGCGGTAACACAGACTGTCATCATTCACCACTCCGTCATCTTGTGGTTTGCACTGAGTGGGATGACCTAGATTGAAAGCATCTTGCGACGGGCACGGACAAAAACGATCAATAACTGCAGAGTTGCACAAGGCTACTGGAAACCCCAGGCTMGAGGACTTCTCTGCTCATTTCCTCTCCAGCAGAGATTAGCAAGTGCGCTCTTGGTTTAGAGAAACAAAAAATTTCCATTACATTGAGCCACAACAGGATGAGCCTTAATTACACCTACGCTGAAGACAACTGAATGCTCTCTCTTATACCAACCTGGAAATACTCCACCAGCTGTCAATCCACCAGCTATCAACGCATACACTGGACTCCCCTGCATCCAGCTAAAAGCTAAAGATCTGAGAACTATTTTGCAAGTATTGGCATAAAGAAAAGCAAACCCAGCACAGAACAGTAGCACTAACAACCTCAACCAGGCTGCTCCAGCTGAGGTTTGGCTGCCTGAGGAAACTTAACCATAGCTTTCCAATCACCCCTCGCCAGCTTCTCCCAGCATATGCCCTTGCAGAGGCAATTTGCTGCTCCACAGCTTCAGCATCTGCAGCAAAACCTGGCCAGAAGCTGCTTGAAGTCATTCGTCTTCAYGCTGCAGCCTAGTGACAAAGACTAAGGAAACACGTTACAGTGCATTAACACTTTGGATGGTCTCCATGTTGATCTAATTGCTCTCTGTAAAGCTCATTTATAATATGTCCACGTCTGCTGCCATCAACAAAAGCCTGTGAAAATGAAGTTGTTTGTATTCCAAGTTCTCCCCAGGGGGAAATGAAGGGAGTTTCAAGGGATTTTAAAATGCTTTGTGGAGTAGTATTTTTTTWAAATCACTACCTAAAATTAGAAAACTTTTGTAGGCATATGAAAACTTGGGGGTGGGAGAAAAAGGAGGGGGAAAAAAAAAAGAAATAAAAAGTGATTCAGGCTGGCCAAGGAGTCCAGAATCACTATGGCTGTGCAGAGCTGGAACAAGCAGGCAGCAGCTCACACAGAAGCTTCCGCAAGCTGTGCGATATTCCAGACCAGTTCTGTTACACTCCCCCATTTTTTTTTTTAAAAGAGTCTTTGCATTCTGAAGTCAAATAAAAGAGACACATATGRTCCCATCCATTCCCATTTTCAGGACCTAAGAGTATTCACTACTGGACAGCTTTGATAGCCCTGTGTAAAYGTCTGGAACTCCCACTCACTTGAGAAATGCAGGTTAAAGCACAAGAGTGGTGTTTGCCTGGAAATCTTAAGGCTACACCTATCACTGTCTCAGACAGTGCCAGCTACCCTTCTGAAAGCATTTATGAAACCTATTTAATGAAATCAACGTTTTGTGATTCTTTTTAGTTGACAATCCCTACAACAGATTAATAACAAACTCAATTAACACTCCAGAGCTTGCCTGGTTTTTCAAGGGAAACAATAAGCCAGTACTACAAGTCTGCTCCTACATTTGATGCAAGGAGAGGAAAGAGTTGTGTGGGTGAAACTGCAGAATAAAGCTGAAACATGGAAGCAATAAAGCACCAAGTATTACATAGCTAGTTGGACATCAAGATAAGCATGTCACTTACTGAGCAGTTCCATAATCAGAAAAAGAGCAGGAAGCAATTTATAATGTCTGACAGTTTGAACAACACTGCCTTGCACAACTGGCAAACAGATGAAAGGTAGTAAACATCTCTGCTAACTTCTTTTTTGGGCTCCTTTGTASACTGTACTGTATCAATTTGCCATTCGAGACACTAACTTCTGGCACTCAGCAGACACAGACCACAAAAGTGAAAACATACAACGCTGGCATTTAAAAGAAATCAAACATCAATTGGTGATGCAACTCCTGCTTCTTAGCTTCAAAAATTACACCACTGCACCAAAACAGACGGAAATACTGGAAAGGGGAAAAGCTCATTGCAAAACCTTGCTTTAAACAGCACAAATTAGGTTCAGATAACCTTATTATCTTCAAAGAGCTTTACAAAAAAGCACGCACTTCACGAATAAACACTGCTACCTCACACCAGCCCTCCACATAAAGTTTAGCTTTCAGCAAACTAACTTCCATTCAAACATAGGCTACATGGCCAGACAAGGCAGCTAAAATGACTCAAATGCAACTTGCTGGGCAAAAGAGAGTTTAATGTTCAAAATCACAGAAGCTGCAATACTTACACTGGAAAACTCAGCTGAAAGTCCAAACTGTTTCAGCTTTATATTGGCTGGCTCCTTCCATTAGATTATGAAAACTGCTGCCTTTCACAATGCATCTTAAAGGTATAAATGCAAAAGCTGTTTTCCCTGTTCATATGGAAAAATCTGATTTTCTTATCTCTAACTCACCACAGCTTGACAGAGGAGCTTGTTTCAAATGAAACATCCCCAGTGCACAGTACAGAATAGGATTTAATTTAATGTACGTATTGGGTTCTATTGATTTTGTATAATCTTGACGGAGAGGCAGCAGAACTGGGAGACAGAATTAAATTTAACAAGTATGGGGTTGAAGGGCTTAGGGTTGGACTCAATGATCCTGAAGGCCTTTCCATGATTCTGAATTTTTTTTTTTTTAATAGAGTAGAGATATGAGCAAAAGGTCATATAAAACACATGTAAATTACCCACTTCAGCAGCCTTCACAGGTACTGCTGACTACAGCTACGTTGGCTCATGCAGCTCCTGGGCTGGTTGCTCTGCTCGGTGCTCACGCTGCCCAAGAGGAAGCCCTGCAGAGTTTCCTCTTATCCTGCAATATCTGCTTAGATTAGCAAATAAAAACATGTGTCAGGGGGCTCATATGAGAGCTACATTTGTGCAGTTCTCCGTATCACATCTGGTGTCTACTGCAGTTAGAAGATGATGTTTTAACCCCATTAATGCTGGCACTGTTCTAAAATATTTGTTCTTTTCAAAGCGCTATTTCACATCCTGCACCAGGGAGCAGGTGTAACTGTTCTTTCTTTTTGCAATAAACAGAAGATGTGCAGCACTCAGCTTGAAGCCATGTCTTAAACCTGTGTTYTGGGAAAATATGCAAGTTTGCTTCTGGCAGAAATATCCACAACAACATCAATTAAATCAAACTAATTCATTACCCCAGCTACACATCTGACTGTCTGCCAAAGATAATAGTATAGTGAGAATAAAGGGGTTCTTCCTGTCTAGTTTTATGAAATCTTATGTTTGGTCATTGGTAGGGCTCTTTTAGAGGGAGTTCTCATTAGAGGGAGCTACATATCTAATAACTGCTGACATATCATTTAAATGGCTGTTACCATTTAAAATGCAGTCCTCTCAATTTGTCTTCACCTGGCGGACTTGCAGCTTCAAGACTAGGTTCCCACTGAAATGTGGCTGCAGAATTATTTGCAAATAATTTTGCATTAAAAAGGGAGCSCCTACAAAAGCAAAATTAGTGAGGAAAATCTAACATCAAGCAAGATCAACAATTCTCTCATCCTCAGAAACCATGCCCACCAGGCAGAACAGAATGGCATACAGGTGGAGCACGGTGCAAACTGGATGATGAAAAGATCCAGCTCAGCACTTTGTTACATGAAGCAATGGCTTTGGTCAAGTTCAAGTTTACGCCTGTCCTCTGCTGAGTAAGGAGGCATTACAGAGGATCACTGAGGTACAGACAAGGACTCTGAGCAGCAGGTACAAAAAGGCACCTGAAAGGTTACAGCAAAGATACCAGCTAAACCAAGATGCAGTGGAGCTTTCTACCATTTTCTCCCAGTTACAGGAAGATATTGTTCCTATCTTGCAGCACCAATGCAGATTTGCTCATAGCGCCTGAAAAATATTCTTGTAATCTTAAACTAAGCCCATGGTGCAACTTGAAAATACTTTACTCTGCACAGTTAGCCAAATCCAGTACTGTTAGACCCAGCACACAAAGTCAATCAGTCTGTTAAAACACGAGCATCATTTCACCCCCAAATGCAAACAGGTTTACCAACAAGAATGTTCAAAGGTTCACTTAAATCCACATAAAAAAAGCCTGCATCAGAAGTAAAGATGGAACTCAGGTTTTCCTGCAAGTTTGGATCAAGAGTCTTACAGTTTTTCACATACTAGCTGAGGTTTCGAAGTTAAAACAGTTACCATCACTAAAGAGGAAGAATGTAAAAGACTTCAAGAAACAGTCGGCACTGCATGATGAAAGCTGAGAACAGCGTGTGTTTCTGCATGCCAGAGCAGTTCCTGATAGCAGGGACTGGCAGGCGGCAATGGAAATACTTCTGCAAAGTGCGATATCACGAAGGAAAGGGTAGAAAGCCACCAAGTCAAAATTACCAACAAATAATGAACATACTGGAAAGTCACCCACCTGTAAGAGTGATTCAACACCCTCTCCCTGATCTGCATTAATTCTGAATTAACACRGAGTTCAGAGTGAACACAGCTCCCCTACCTTGAACAGGCCAATACTGATTTGTACCAGCTGAAGATGTAATCTAAAGGCTTTGCATCCTGCTAAAGAACTGTCATTTACAGTTGCCTTCAGACTCTTATATTTTGTGTGTTTTTGCCATTTCTTTACACTATACATCAGCACTGCTTCCTGCCACGATGCTTGCACAGCCAGGCTACCCTCCCAGGCAGGCCAGCCTCCTTCTCCCCAGGYTTTGCATGTCATCACCTAACAAAAGGGTTTGGTTTTTTTTCCCTGTTCTACTGAACACAAATGCACTGTTAGAAATCTTATTAGATGAGCCCAACTGCAGCACTTTCCCCCTGTGGCTCCAAAGGGACCTGGTGCTCCCAAGACAACGGGCGTGCATCCGCGGACACCGGTAACCCCAAACTGTGACTATTATGATTATTTGCCACCAACCCAGAGCCAGGACTTACATCCAGCCCCGCCGCCGGGGCGCTGCCTTGCAGCAAGGGCTTGGCCACTGTCATCTTGCCGCTGGCCGAGCCGTGTCCCGCGGCCGGCGGCGGCGCCGTCACCGCCGGGCTGGGGAGCTGCGCGCTGCCCACGGCGAGCAGCGGCTGCGCGGCCGGGAGCACCGCCGACGCCTGCAGCTGCAGCACCACGGGCGGCGGGAGCACCACCGACTGACCTGCAACACAAGGACAAACACAACGGTGGCTGTGGATGGCACTAAAAGGGTTCGTTTTGATTCGTTTGTGGCGCAGCGTTTGTAGGGTGGCAGAGGAAGGAGGCGGCGGCGGCCTCACCTCCTCTCCAGCCTTGGCTTGAAGAGAGAACGTGTTTGCAATACCTGGGGCAGCCCGAGGAACTTCTTCAGACAACTTGGCCAATGTTAGCTTTGAATACTCAGAAACCTATATATATATATATATATATATATATATATGTATATATATATGTACACATATAATGTAAATCTCATCCCAGCAAAGGGAAAACAAAAGGGTAAATGAAGCAGTGTGCAATACCTATCCACATTTGGGAAACGTGTTGTAAAGTCTATCACTGATGTCCAAGTTTGATTTGTTTTAGTATTATTTTCATTCACTGTTAGGAACAAACAGTGGCTGTATGAAAAGTGCCTTCACTTGCAAGACTCTAGATCTACATTATCCCAAGCTAATGGAAACCATTTATGTCTGGTAGGAGACGGGGCAACAAGCACCTGGCTACTGTACAAAGACAGCCAGTACTGCCAACGCCTCACTACTTGCTTCAGAGTCCCCTCACATCATGGTAATCCCTGGGTGAAAGTACAAAAGTTGAATGAGGGGCTCCCTCACAAACAAAGAATCTAGGCCCATTCCTSAGCCCACAAAAGAACGAGGTTTGAAGAGATGTGCAGAGCATTAAGGTGCCTATGAGTGCGTGAGAGCACAGTTTGTGGCTCTGCAAAGGTAAATTGCTCAGGGTAAAGACAACRGTCAGAATACCCCCAAAATAGTCTTCTTGTGGACACTTGTGGACTTCCTTCAATCCAAGCTAGCAGTGAAAGTCTGACTGGGAAAAAGACAAAGAGGACATCTAAGCTTCTGCTTCTCCCTTTCATAGTTACATACACTTGCAAGTTTGATTCAGCAAAAAGTGCTGACTATTAACCAGCATTTATAATCTTTTCCATCTCAAGCCTTCTCCCTCGTATCCATCCCTACTTTATTGTCATATTCAATGAAAAATTTCATGTAGAAACCAATTCAGAAACAATATCCCAAGCAAGGGCAAAATGAGGCCTCAGAACTTGAAAGAAACATTGTGAGTTACATTTGCAAAACCTCCACTACACATCCTCTATTCACATTAAATTAAGACCAGTTTTTGGAAAAACTGTTGTCTTGCCTAGGAAACTTGATGTACAACCTAACAGATCTGAAATAAAAGAAAGCAGCAGATAATTCCAAAACAACTTTGAAAGGGGATTAATGTTATAGCCAAACAATTTCAGTCCAAAAATTCATTCTACTCAAGCAGATGCAAACCTCATCATAGCACTTTGTTGCATGAAGACATAGGAACATCCAATTTAATTCTTTGTAACAGGATGACCTGGCTGGCTTTTAGAAACAGTGTGTTCTAACTGAGCACTCCAATCAAAATTCCTAACTACACATTACAGCACTTACCCAACCGTTTGAAGGTAAAGAGCAGTCATGTACCTAGCTCCAAGATTTCTATGTATAAGGAGTAAGACTAGGTCTCTTCCTGGCATAAAGGGGMTTGAAAACACTATAGGGTAAGATAAACAAGCAAAAAGAAAACCCACTGCTCTATTTAAGAATCTGAAAAAATGAATTTGAGGTGTTTTCAGAATATTTTTAACAATGCAAAAGGCATAAAATACTATAAGATGATGCYTTCCTCTTCTAATCTTTTATGAAAGGGACTGTTAAAATGCAATTCTTCATGCTCCTTGAGAGTATTTTGAGAGAAATGGCACAATTCAAACAGGAAGCTCCAACCCGCTACGTCCAAAGGACTTTTGACTAATGGGGAAAAAAAAAATCCTTGCTTTTTTTTTTTTTTTTTTGTTTTGGCAGTATCACTACAGATCTTTTAAACACACTAGCAGTTAAGCTAAATACACAGCATAAACACTTTCTCCAGAATACTTCCTAGGAAATAGCATTCCTAGAGAAGAGGAAGTTACTTTCCTAACATTTCTACAGGCAAAGGAACAAACTGATCTTCCTAATGTTATAATCACATCCAGAAATATCTATATTCCCCAATACTCCCTTTTCCAGATGCTGTTCTATCAGYTGAAACATCATATGGAGTAAGCATCTGGTCACTGTAACTGTGCTGAGCTATGTTTTAAGCAGCCTAACCATCCTAAGCCTGTCACAACAACTGTAGCCTCTCCAGCTTTGGCTTAACTCTCGAGAGAAGAGCAATTAATAATGAAGGCAAGTTTTTCACAGCTAAAATAATTCCTATATACCGGCACTTAAGTATTTCTCTCCTTTTCCTTCCACTCCTCACTGCCTCTAGAATCAACTGCAACAATCTGCAGCCATCAGCTGGTGAAAACAAGCAACTGCACCTGACAATTTCACCAAAGCAGAAAACTTSGCTACGGCTTTGGCAAAAGTAAAATGTTGCTCAGGATTGAAAAGGGAAGGCTACTTTGGCAGACTGTTACAAAATAACAGCTTAAGAGAGGAAAGAAAAATTACCAATGCACAGGAAATCATTTGCTGCCTCTTAACAGCAACTTACGCCTGYGAGCAATCACTCCAACACCTGCCTGGACTGTAAACATCAACCTTGCAACTGTTAGCAGAATTTGTAACATCTGGTCAGGAAGATGAAAGGCAAGAGTACAAACTTAGCTCCCCACCAGTATCCTGTGACCACAGCTTCCATGYGGGAACAAGCTTCTTTTTAGCACGAAGCCACTGCAGCAAAGCAGGGAACATCCCTCTCTGCTCCCAGCCCCTCCTGTTTCACCAGCTAAAGTGAACTCCAGYGCAGTAACACGTCCACACAGACATAGGATTTTCCACCTACCTTTAGGAGGGGCTGGCTGGATGTTAACAACTGGYTGGTGCTTCGGTAGTTGCACAAGGGTTGGAAGAGTCTGAATAATGATGGTTTTAGTTGGGGTACCAACATTAGCCTGACCCTCAGGTACAGCAGGCAAGAGAGGTTTGGGTTGTATTGAAGGCCTGGTTGTTGTCTGAGCGCATCTCTTTAGGGTCCTCCCAGAATTACCTGCTAGGAAAGGAAAGGAGAGCTCAGTTCAACCAAAAGATACAAAGTAAAAAAAAAATCAAGCAGTAACAGCATAGCTCCTGCTATGTTTCTTTACCCACCTACAGTATTTGTAACAATAAACATAACATGCCCCAATAGGATACCGACTTTTCCCCAAGTCAGAAATCATAGGATTTTTTTAGTATCTGTTAGTTAAAGCCCTGTCCATGCAAGAAAACAAGCACACTAGCTGCAGAATTKAAGTGATGTGATTGCCTGCACCAGAGCGAGATGGGAGGCTTGCAGGCTTCTTCCCTCCGTCTCCCTCCGGGGACAAGGGGCTTCCRGAGCTCTTGCTGTAAAGGGAGAGGGGAGACATCTGCGAGCTACAGCTGAAGTCCACATCGTCCTGCGAACAGAAAGCACAAGAGAAGTGCTTCAAAACCAGAGCAGAGCAGCTAATGGCAATTCCCCCTCATCACAGCCATGCTGCTGCTACGGGAACAGGCTAAAGGCAGCATGATGCTGTTTTAGTCTGATCAGCAKTACCACTGAAAAAGCACTTTGACTTATTGCCAGGCTGGGCCAGAAGGCAACAGCTGCTGGACTCGGAAGCCACTAGAACGCACGTTGTTTGCAGCCAGACACACACTTTTAGCTGAGGAAACAGATCCAGCAGACTGTCTTTTTAGAATGGGTCACAGCTGGAGAGGAAGGAAAATACCCCTGAAGGGAAGGTGGTTTGGCACAGGTCAAAATAAAGCTGTTGCCTCTTGTGCTACGTGGCTGATCAAAGAGGGAAAGCAGTGGGGTGTTTTGTTGGTCACAACTGGCTCTGCACAACTGCTGCTCTCTGTGTTACGGGGAGGATTCTGCATACAGGCACGTTCTGCACTGAAGAGTCCACAGACGATGGAGAAGGGACYGAACAGGTCGAAGCAGCTGGTGATAAGGGCTCTGTCTTCACACTCTCATCTGCAAGACAGGGGCATGCAGAGGTKTCACTGTATGTGTTTCTAGCAGTGGGAGATGACCAAAAACTACACACCTCTGCATCACAAATTCATTCCTGAAACAGGTCACAGCAGAAAACACAGCAAGATTAAAAATAATAGATAGCTTGGCTTATAGAACAGCCTTCATTAGTTGTACCCATCCTACAAAAAACAGCACAATCTGCTAGTGCACATAMATCTTGCAGCTCATCCAGTAGTTACACATAAATTATCACTGTCCTCAAAGCTATAACAGAAAGTTCTGGGTGGGGAGAAAGGAGGAGAAAAGTCAGACMTGCAAAATAGGGCAGCTAGATTACCTGAATAGGCATGGTTTGTGATATTCCAAAAGTCCGAGTCCCARGCCATCAAATCCAAATCAAAATGCAAGTTGTACTGATCATTCTCCTGAAATGAGAGGTTAGCAACAAAGAAACAACACAAAAAGGTGATCAACACTGAAACCACGAGCCATGACATTCACCTCCTTTCAGCCCCGCACAGCACATGCGTCTCCCTCGTGTCGTCCCCCAGCACACAGGGACGGGAGCCCCAGGAGGGGCAACGTTTCACTGGCATGCAGCCACCACCACGGGCAGGGCTTCTGTTAATGCTCRGAGCTCAGCCCTGGGCGGGGGGCACTTTGGTTGAAGAGCATCAGGGGCTACAGCAGCAGGGTCGCAGCACAGCATTATACTATAGAACCACTAAATATTGCATAATAACATAGATGGTGTTAYAGATATGGTGTACAACAGTGCAATACTATACTGTATGGTGTAATACTAGCACTGCGGCTAAGAGCGGTGCCAAAGGGCCCCCTCCCYGGGGACGTTGCTGCCACCGGCCCCCCCAGCCCCCCGGGACGCCCCTGCCGGCTGTGCCCCCCCGCGCGACACAACCGTCCCGGCGGGGGAGCCGCCCCGGCGCCGGGCAGGGGCGAGCCGGGCACCCCCCGGGCCCCGCCGCTCACCTCGGGCTCGGCCGGCTCCGCCGCGTCGCGCCCCGGCCCGCCGGCGCCCAGCAGCTCGCCCAGCTCCTCGCCCAGCACCGCCTCTGCGGGCACACAGCGGCTCGGCACCGGCACCGGCACCGGCCCCTTCCCCCCGGCACCGGCCCCGCGCCCGGCACCGGCCCCTTCCCGCCGGCACCGGCCCCGCTCCCGGGCCCGGCCCCTTCCCCCCGGCCCCGCGCCCGGGCCCGGATCCCTCCCCCCGGCACCGGCCCCTTCCTCCCGGGCCCGGCCCCTGCCCCCCGGCCCCACTCCCGGGCCTGGTCCCGTCCCGGCCCCTTCCTCCTGGGCCCGCTCCCGGTCTCGTTCCCGCTCCCGGTCTCGTTCCCGGCCCCATTCCCGGCCCTCACCCCAGTCGAGGCCGCCGCCCGGGGGCGGCAGCAGCGCCGCGGGGTCCCACTCGGCCCCAGCCACCGCCATCGCTTCCGCCTTCCTGCCCAAACACACGTCGCCTTCCGCCAGCGCCACGCCCCGCCCCGCCTACGGCGGCCGCCGGCGGACACGGCGCGCCGGAAGCGGAGCGCGGGGCGGGGCGGCTTTTGGGCGGCCCAGCCGCGCAGGGGGCGTGGCCACGCAGCCTGGTGGGGCGGGGCCTTTCCCGGCCCCCGCCGGGTGGGGAGGGCGGCCCCGCGCGCGGCGGGGGGGGGGAGGGTCCGTGCTGAGGGCCCCGCGCGCGGGACACGAACCCCCACGCGCGACACACAGAGCAGAGCCAGCCACACCGCGGGGGGGGTGTTCACATCTTCCACGTGTTGAAGGGAAGGGGCAGAGGGAATGAAGGTCACGGGCAGCACCCCGTGCCCCACGCCGCCGATCCCCRCCCCTGTGCCCGAGTCCAGGGGATCCAGCTTTGGGAGTGACATTCCAGGGGGTCCTGCTTGAAGAACCCGTGGGGAGGTCCCTGGGGGGCCATGGCGGCTGCAGGAGCGCGTCAGGAAACGGGCGCCACGAGCCAGGGCCCAGGGCTGTGGGTGGGAGGCTGGGCCGGGCTGCCCCGTGTTGCGGTCGGGGCGGATATTCCGGATATTCCATGAGCGACATGGAGGTGAAGCAGCCGGGAGCGGTGCCGGTGCGCWGGAGCACGGGGCGTCTGGGCTCAGCTCACAGGTTGGAGTCGTAGGCAGCGTTGGTGAAGAGGCCGGGGGATCCCAGGTCACTGGATGAAGAGCAGGGGTGGAAGGTGGGATGAGAAGAGGTGGGAAAGGCCGCAGGAAAGGGCGAGGGCGCCGCGGAGGCGCTGCCGCACGTGCTGCGGGAGAGGGCAGGGCGACGCGGGCACGGGGACGGCCCGGCGCTCACCTGGTGGGGCTCAGGAGCTTCTTCTTCTCGTCTGTGGGGCGGCGTGGAAGGCCCACGGGTGGTTCAGACACAAAACAAAACGGGGTTTGTTAGAGGGCGTGAAGAGCAGACACGTCGAACCGACACATCGGACCGCGCTGGACGAGSCACCGGCCGCCCCTCGGCTAAGGTTCAGCCTCCCAGCCCGGCCGACCCGCGGCGGCACACGCGGGACGAGCTGCCCTTGAGCCCCCAGCGCGTCCCCGGGCCTGCCCCGCGCCCCGCGCAGCCGCCGCTACCTCTGTCGCTGAGCCGCTTGACGAGCAGCGCGATGAGCGAGCCGGAGAGCGCCATGCCCGCGGCCGCCAGCGCCGCGCCGCCGCCGTACACCAGCGCCCGCCTCAGCAACGAGGCGCCGTCCTCTGCAAGAGACACGCGYGGGGGGAAATGAAACCACCGAAAAGGCTCCGTGGAGCCCAAAGGGCGGCCGCGGTAGCTGCGCAGACGGCCCCGGCGCACCAGGCTCGCCGCGCACGAGAAGGAGCACGTGGAGTTGTAGGAGAAGTTGCCGTGCGCGTGGGAGCAGCTCAGGCGGCCGCCGCCGGGAGCGGCCAGCGCCGGGCAGCTGACGGCTGCRGGACGGAGCACAGGGCGGGATGAGCGGGAGGAGGACGGGGGAAGGATGCGTGGGCAGCCGCAGGTTGGCGGTGCGAAGGAGAAGGGGGTCCTGGGGAAAGCTGGGAGCTGCAGGCACCGTGCTGGCTGCAGCAGGACGGACTAGAGCAATGGAAAAAACTCTATAGCAGGGCTGGAGGAGAGGAGATTTCACAGGGTCAGCATGGCAAAGTAGGAGGTGCCCACTGTAAACACCCATGTTAGAAGTGCCAAGGAAAGCACTGGGACATGACTGCCCCATTGCACAGCTCCTTCCCACTGCCACCCTCTCCAGAATGAACATTACAATTCACGCTGCTTTTTCTCAAGAAAAACACTTCTGCAGGACACAGGAGACAACCAGGGCACTACAGACAGGACATGTCTTCACAAGGCTGCCAAATCCAGGCATGCATTAGATGAGCTTCTACCTTCACATTTCGGGGCTTCCSCGCTCCATTCCCCCSTGTCCGTGCACTCRCTGCTCGCTGTCCCCGTCAGCACAAAGCCGGTTTGGCAGGAGAAGGAGCACGTGGAGCCGAAGGAGAAGTTGCCGTGGGGGTGGGAACAGGCTGCGTGGCCCATGGCAGGAGCCACCAGTGTTGGGCATTTGATGGCTGCAAGGAGAAAGAGACACTTGTGAAGCAGGAGCA